ATGCCGGGAAGACTATGTTAACCAGTTTGATGAAAGTATTTTAAAGTGTATATAAAACCAGCACATTGTACCCCATGACTGCATTAATGTACACAGCTATGATTTAATAAAATAAATAAATAATGAGAATGTATAGAGGTGGGAAAAGCTGGGAGCCTGGCATTTGTCTGCTTATTCCTGTTTGCCTAGAGCATGGGTATTGAGGAGTGAGTATCTAGGACAGGTGAAAAACTTAGGGATCCCAGTGTCCTTATATGAGGGATTTATCAACTTTAAACTTACTAAGATAAGCATGTGACCTATAATTCCCACAGTCTTCACTGACAGTTGGAATAAAGTGTATAAATTCTAAACTAGTAGAGTTGGGAGGAAAAAAAGGAATGAGAGAAGGGGAGAAAAATCAGTTCCAAAGAAGGCGAGAAAGACAGAGAAAAAACAAACCTAGAAAACACAATGGATAAATAGAAAGCAAAACCTAAGATGGTCTAAATGAATTCAATTTAATAATAATGACAATCTGCATAAATGGAACATACTCTCCAGTTAAAATCAAAGATTATTAGACTAGATGTTAAAAATTCAACTCTAAAGTATTCATGAGAGAACCCCTAAAAACATAGAAGCAGAGGAATACTGCAGATAAAATGAGGGTAAAAGATATATTAATGTAATAGTCTGCAAAAGGAGGTGGTTATGGCTATGTTATATATTAAGGAAAATTGAAATTCAGGACAAAAAGCATTACTACAGATGAATTTCCAATTTTCCAGGAAGACATAATTCTAAATTTGTATGCCCCTGATAGCATAACTTTGAAGTATATTTTTAAAATGCTGGAACTATAAGAACAAAAAATATCCAAACTCACAGGAGGACGTTTTCACACAACTTTCTCAAAACTGATAAATCAAAAAGACAATAAATCAGGAAAGAGTTAAAAGGTTTGAAGAACACAATTAACATGCTTGATCTAATGAGCATACACAGAATAGTGAAAGCACATTCGTTTCAAGTACACATGGGATATTTTTTAAAATGGATCATGTAATAGGCCATAGAGCAAATCTCAGCAGAAAGAATATATATCATAAGCCCACATTTTCTAACAGTTGATTTAGCAATCAGTAATGATATAAAATAAACCAAGGAAACTCCATATCTTTCAAAACTAAAAAACACATTCTAACTCAATTCAAAGGAAAAAGTCAAACTTGAAATTTGTAAATATTTAGACCAGAACAATCATGAAACTACTAATCAGAACTGCTGGGATAAAGTTAAAGCAGTATTCGGGAGCAAGATTATAGCCTTCCTGCTTACACTAGAAATGAAGCAAGTCTGCAGAGTAATAAACTGAGCATTCACCTCAGGAAGTTAAGGGGAAAAAGCAAAGAAGTGTTCCCTTTTCTCCACATCCACACCAACATCTGTAGTTTTCAGATTTTGTGATGTGGGCTACTCTTACTGGAGTTAGATGGTATCTCAAAGTGGTTTTGGTTTGCATTTCTCTGATGATTAATGATGATGAGCATTTTTTCATGTGTCTATAGACCATGCACCTATCTTCTTCAGAGAAGCTTCTGTTCATGTCTCTTGCCCACAATGAAATGGGATCACTTATTTTTTTGTTTTTTTTTTTTTTTTTAGTAATAAGTTTGAGTTCTCTATGGATTCTGAGGGTTGGTAGAAGGACCACACCTATGGAGCATATTGCAAGTACAAGTTGGATCTATCAGGTGTAGAACACAAATGTCTTAGCAATGTAATTGGGTAAGTGAGGTGAAGGCTGTGTTGTTTAGTAGGATGTAAACACTCCAATTTGTAAAAATAATCAACCATTGAATCCCATAATGGCATAAATGTTATCTATGATCTATGTACAAATGACTTAATTAAAAAAGAAAAAGAAAAAAAAAAGCAAAGAAGGAGGAAAATAATAAATATATAGGCAGAAATCAATGAAAGAATCCCTACTATATAATAGAAGGTATCCCCCCAAATCCCCAAATCATCATTTTTTTCCTTCAAAAGACTAACAAAACTGACAAACTGCCAGCAAGATCAATGAAGAAAAAGAGAGAAAATACCAATAATCAGCAACAAAAATGTAAAGATGCTGTAGACATCAATAAAGATCAAGAACAGGATATTACTGAAAACCTTATCCCAATTATTTTGAATATTTAGGCAAAATTTCTAGGGAAATATAACTTCCATAATTAGTCCATGAATAAATACGAAACCTGAATAACCCAATAACCATAAAAGAAATTGAATCATTGGTTAAATTGTTACTATAATGAAAGCATCAGACTTTGATGACTTTGTAAAAAGTTCTAAAAAATAAACAGGAAATAAATAATTCTAATCTTAACACAATCTATTTCAGAATGTAAAAAGAGAAGGAATACCACTATGTCAATTAGCTATATCCTTGATATTAAAACACAGAAAATGCAAAAATTTTTAAATGTAAATTTATAATAGCTACAAAAAGTATAAGCCATCAAGGGAAGAACACTAACTTAAAGTGTGAAAAACTATATTACAAAACTTTAAAACCATTACAGAAGATTTAAACAGAAACATACACGTGTAACAACACACCGTTTTTGTGGATAAGAACTCAATATCCTAATAAAAATATCTTAGATTCACTCCAATTAGATGTATAGATAAACACAATTCCTATCAAAATTCAAAAACATTTTCCAAGAATTTTTAAATGATTCTAAAATTTATCTGAAAGAGCGAAAGATTCAAAATAGTCAAGATATTTCCCAAAAGAGAAGGAAGAAAGGATAAAGGAACTTTCCCTGCCAGATATCAAGGATTAGAAAGTAATAGCAAGTTATATAGTGTTGTATTGCCATAGGGATAGACAAACAGATCACAGAAAAGAATTAGAAAGCCCCAAAACAAACCTTCACATAAAGGGAAACTTTATATGTGGCAAAATTGATACCGCAGATCAGTGGGGAAAGAGAACGCACGAGTCAATAAATGCTTCTGGACAACTGAAAAATAAAAATAAAATCCTACCTCACACCTTCACAAAACTCAGTTTCTATTCCAGATGGAGAGAGAACTTAAAAGTGAAAAGAAAATTAAAAAAAAATATTAGACTAGAACCATTAGAGAATATCTTTATGATCTCAGGTAGGGAAGGATTTCTTAAGTCATAAAAAGTACAAATCTTAAAGGAAAAGTGTCATAAATTCAACTAGTAAGAACATTTATTCAACAAAACACATACTAACCAGGGTAAAAAGATGAGACACAAACTGGGAAATGACATATACAAACTTACTGCCAACAGAAGATTTATATATGAACTATGTCAAGAACTCCTACAAATCAATTTAAGGAAATCAATTAAATAATGGGCAAAAAGTATGAACAGGAATTTCACAGAAAAGAAAGAATAAACGACCAAAAAGTACATATATAAAAGTATTCTCAGTCTCACTAATACTTTAAAAATGATGATGAGAAAACATTTCACACTCACTGAATTAGCAAAAATTATTTTGACAGTACCAAGTGCTGGAGAGTACGTGAAGCCAGAGAATGATTCACATAGTGACAGCGTGAGTGTAAACTGAAAAAGCAAACTTTTAAGATGGTAAAATTAAACACACACATGTGCTGCAGCCCAGCAATCCATCTTTACATTTAGAGGCTAGAGAATGTTGATAGCAAGATACAATGACACAAAACTGGAAACCACCTAAATGGCTATTGTCAGGAAAGTGGATAAATAAATACAATGAGATAATGTACAGAGTAATAGAAACTGAAAATACTATAGCTATAAACTATAATAGATAAATCTTACATATGTTTGAATGGAAAAAGCAGTTCAGAAGCAGGCAGTATAACTATATATATAGTTATATATATATATACAATTATGTACATATATATGGTAAACTATAAAGTGATGAAACTTTTTTTTTACACAGCCAGCAATGCCTAACAAGGAGGACAGGCTAGTACCTCTGGGAGGGAGGAAAGGGCCAACAATTGGGAGGGGCATCATAAAATGGGTTTCAAAGGAACTGGTAATATCTTTCTTGCGTTGAATTACGAACATATGTGTATCTTTATCTTGTCACTCTTTGTCATTTACATTTCTGTTCTCTACAATCTTATATTTGTCTGGTATATTTCACAATAAAACAACCAACCAATCGATCAATTTTGCTAGAGGCTATGGAGCTGAACTAGAATCCACAAGATGGGCCTAGTAGGTTTTGGGCGGTGAATGAGAGACGGTGAAATTGCCATAAGGCTATATGATCTGTGGCTGAAACTGGGGAAAAGCTTCACTCCTAAGTGAGAAGAAAGCTTTAAGTCAGACAGAGACTTCTGCTGGTGCTCTTGAAGTTACTGGGGATTTGGGGACTAATGATTACAGAAAGTAAATGAATGACTCCAGAAGGGAAACTTGGACAAAGGAGTATTGATTCTCTTATATCCAGGAAGGTACATAGTTTGCAGTTATGTCGACACAAAAAGGATACTGTCATTTTTGTAAATACGAGGACATTTGTATCCATTACTTATACCAACCAAAGTATGTTTTTCTTCACATAGCAGAAAGTCCAGAAGTAGGCCCTGCAGATCTTGTTCAGTGGGTTAGCAATGTTTTCTACATCCAGGCTCCATCTGTCTTTCCCTTCTGCCGCTGTCAGTGTAGGAGCTTTTTGCCCTGAGCAGCTCCAAACTTCTCTACCTCAAACCCAGGATCAGAGGCATAGCCCTGACTCTGTCAGCAAAGTGAAAGCTTTCCTAGAACTCTAGTAGAGCTTGTCACTAGTATCCTAGTACTCAAGATGGTGTCACATGGCCATTTCTTGCTGCAGGAGAGCCAAGGGAAGTAATTATTTTGTTATTGCATTCTGTATCATAGGAGCCTGTGAAAGCAAAGGGGCAGTTAGTTAATAGTGCCTGTCAAAATATTCCACTAAGAATTCTTCTTCCTCTTTTCTCCCCAGGAGCCAGTCTGCTTGATGACTTGAATAAATATTTCTTCTTCCATCACTCCCATGGAGACACCATGACTGCACTGGATCCAAAGCAGATGAACGTGGCTGCGGCTGTTTGGGCTGTTGTCTCTTACGTCGTTGCAGACCTGGACGAAATGCTGCCTAGGGTCTAGAAACAGCAACGAGGAAAGCATTGCCCTTTCTAGCCAGGAATCTTGGTCGATAGCCTCTGCAAGTAATAATTTCATCTGATTCATCTTCAAAGCAAAACCTTTTTTGTTTCTAGATCAGGAATGATCCGCCCCGCCACTAGAATCAACAGATAGTAGGGATCACAATGGGCACATTTCTTTATACTACTTTTTAAAAATGTTGTATCTACTTTTAATAAACCCTGAATAAATCTTTGGAAGGTCTCTAGTTTTTTGTGTGTTCAGTTATGATCATTATATGACAACAACAATCCCTGTGGTTTATGTTATTTGCGGAAGGAGTAGGGGAATTACTTGATTATAGTATGATCTTATTGAACATACACCTTTGACTTTCTAATTTGTACATTTTTATATTATGCAGATTCTTTAAATATAAAAATTTCAAATTAACAGGAGAAAAGATGCCGCCATTTGGGGGGAAAATTCAATCGCCTTATTAAAGATGAGTACTAGTATCTATCACTAGATAAATAATACTGCTATTTTACATTTATGTTTTATGTATTTTACACAAAAATTTCCATGAAGTTTAGGCTTATTCACAATCTTCTGATAAAAACGTTGAAGCTCACAGAGACTAAATAATACTCACAAGGTCCTAGAGAGCAAAAATATTGATCCCCATCCACTCCAGGGACCATCTGTACTATCTCTGTAGTCCTCACATAATTTCTAATATTCAATAAAAAATTACAAGACACACCCAAAAAGGCAAGAAAAAATAAGTTTAATGTCAAGAGATAAAACAATTAAGAGGACCAGAAGTTAAAACTCAGAAGTTAGAACTGTCAGAGAGAATGCTTCATATTGCCACAATTAATATGTTAAAAATCTAGTGGGGAAAGTGGGCTACACACATGAGTAGAAGGAGAACTTTTTTTAAAAGATGGAAATGATAAAAGAGAGTCAAATGCAAATGTTTAAAAATGCAATATCAGAGATTAAAAAAATTCTTGGACTAATGAGTAGAGGAAAAAATAACTGGACTTGAATATAGGTAAATAAAAATTATCCAAACTGAAACATTAAGAAAAGAGTGAAGGGGGAAAAATGCTGAGATGGATCATCTAAAAATTGTGATATAATATCTAATGGTTTAATATACATGTAAAAGGATTTCCAGAAGGAGAAGACAAAATATCAGTTGTATTAATGGTAATAATTAAAAGGATTAAATGACAGAGTAGCATCTTTTATTTCTGGCAAGAAGGAAAACAAATATTCTGACTGACCCATATACCGAAAAATGCTAAAACACTATTTAACACTTGAGAAACACCTTATTTAATATATGAATGAACTAGTTAAGAAATAAAGAATATTAGACAAAATACTTTAAATAAAGGCATGTACATAGACTATTAAGCAATATTTGTCTTTGAGAAAATTCAAAGAATGTGGTAAATATTCAGTGGGTTATTTTTGCAAACTTTCAGGGCCCAGGGGACTATAGACAAAACCCAGATGCTGTCACATTAAGGATCCTAGAGAATGAGACCCTTGAAAATTATACCTTAATATAACAGTGAACTAAAAATAACTCAGAAGACTGCAAGAAAAGGCACCATGATTTAATAGGTGCTGAGTAGAAGGTCCAAAGAAACTCCCACAAAGTTACAAAAAATACAAATTCCTCACAACCAAAAGAAAAAAAAATGAAAAAGAAACCACAGCATTCTGAGCAAGAGCAAACCAAAACAGGTAAGAGTAAACCCACGAGTATCTGCTGGTATTGGGATTTTTAGGTTGAGAATTTTTTAAGCTATTTCCATTATGTTTAAGGAAATAAAAAATGAGATTGAAAATAGAATCAAGGTACTATAAAAAAGATGACCAAGCATCTTGTTAAAAAAAACCAAATAGAACTTTTAGAAATATAAATGATAATAAGTGAAAATTAAAAATTAAGGGATAAACTTAACCAATTTAGTAAGTGAAGTAAAGATAATACTGAAGAAATTAACAAGAATTTAGCATAGAAAGCCAAAGATATGGAAAATATGGGTGAGAGGTTAAGAAACATGAAGGACAAAGTTGTATTATCTAACATATATTTAGTCAGGATTTCAGACAAATGAGACAAAGAATTATCTGAAGACATAATGAATGATGAATTTTCAGAAATAAACATACCAATCCACAGAATCAAGAAATCCAATGAATTCCAAACAGAATCAATGAAAAAACATTTTATAGAAAGACTACAGACCACAAAAGACAAAGAGAAGATCTTTGAAGTAAGAGTGAAGAGATGGATTATCTTAAAACCAGCAGCAATTAGACTTGGAGCTGACTTCCTGATAGCAACCAGGCAAGCCAAGGGCAGTGAATAATACATCTTCAACTTGCTGGGAGACACTTATCAACCTAAAATTTCTGTGCTCAGGAAAAATGCCTTTCAAAAACAAGGACAAATTAAGGACATTTTCAGATACAAAGTGAGAGAGTTGAGTACCAGCGGATCTTCACTAAAGGAAATTTTAAAAAGTGCACGCCAGGGAAAATTAGATGATCCTAGAGTGAGCACTAATACACAAGATGTGAAAAGCCTGGCTCCAGGCCGAGATCTGTGTGTGATCTTTCAGGCCTGACTATAAGCTGTCACAAAGGTTTTGCCTGGCAGGCCTCGTGGGAGGGAGCTGCCCTCTCCACGCCAGATTTAGTGCATAGTCCAGGGATCATAGGTTTCTGGGGGTGGTTACAGTGCAGGACTGAGGCCCTGGGAGCAGCCAGCTGTTCCTGCCCATGCATCTCCAATCAAGGCCAGTTTATCTGGGTGCAAGACATTAGCATCTACTCTGACTCCGTACTTTTCCAGTTCTAGCCCTTCCCACCTCCCTATCCTCAGTCCCCCCTAAATGTCAGTATAGTTCAGGGCTCTTTGGCCCTGAGATGGTTTCCCCTATCTAGGCTGACTCATCTGACCCTTGTCTCGTGCCTTTATCTGGGGGGAAAATGGAACATTAGCTAACTGGTGCCTATTGTGGCCTCTTGCTTACACTTTCTCAGTAAGCCTTTTGTAACTTTCATTTTGGCTCAATGTCCTAACTGACCACCTACACCTGGCAGCTGAACAGAAATAGAGAGCAAAGAAAGTGGCAATCATTTTAAACAAACACAGAATAAAGAAAATAATAGGATGACGATGTGGTATCTGAAAAGAACGTGAGACAGAAAGAACATACTTGAATGGCATATTAATAAGAAGTTACCAGAATTGGTGTTCTCAGGTCCTTGTATTGCTCTAGAAGAGACTAGTGATAATTGTCTAACTGTACTAACTTTAGCCTTTGTTAACCATGAAAGTTAAGTTTTCTAAAGAAACCACAAAAACACAACAAAACACCCCCCAACATTATGAGAAAAAAGATCAAAAAATTTGTCATGATATTCAGTGACCAGATACCACTGATCAAAAAAAAGACGTAAGTTTGGAAAACAAGAAACAACTTGATGAAATAAATAAATGACTACTAAGTAACTTGTAAGTCACAGAAAAATTATAATAGAAATTAAAACCTATTTACAAACTGAATAATAGCACAAACACATGCATATCAAACTTAGAGGCAAATTTACAGTTGTTTAGACACTATCAACGAAAAAAAAAAAAAGAAATCTCCCAAACGAACAAAAACCAATGAAACAGATAAGCATTCAACAAATAGGATCGAAAAAGCCAAATGCTAATTCTCTGAAAATACTACAAATAACTTATAAAAAGCTTTATACCAATAATTTGAAACACGAATAAATGGACCAATTTCTAGAAAAATGTCAATTACCTAAACTAGCTAATAAATTAACAGAATCTTTTAATAACTCCATTCAAGAAGTTGAATAGTTTAAAATATACTCCACACACACACACAGAGAAACGCCTTAGGCCACACAGTTTTATGGCCAAGTTGTACCAAAATTTAAACAAAATATCCTAATTTTATAAAATTATTCTAGAGTATAGAAGAGAACGTAATTCTAAACTCACAAATCCAGTTTTTGTGTATGCAGGTCTGGATCTGAACTCTATTCTGTTCCCCTGGTCTATTCACCTATCTCTGTGCTAACGTCATGCCACCTTAAACACAAGTTGGTAAAAAGTCTTGATATCTGCCAAGACAAGATAAAAAAAAAAAATCAGAATAGACCAGAGTATCCTGTGGTAACAAAACCTCCACAAAATTATTAGTGGCTTAATGACAAAGATTTCTTTCTTAGTCAGGCTTGTGTTGATTGTGAGTGGACTGAAAGTTCTCTCCTCCCTGGTTATCACTCTGGTCCAAGCTCACAGAACAGGCGTAATCTGCATCATTGCCATTTACCACAGGAAGGCAAATCACACACCACGTCTTAAAATTTCTACCCAGAGGTGTGTAATCTGTTTGAAACATGAGTTTTATTTGCTTAATATTAGGGCTTTGCCCTTTTTCTGTGAGTCCTGGGTAGAGAAGCTGATCTCATTAAACATCAAACAGTTAAGTGAAAAAAAAATTCTGCTAATTCTGTTCCCATTTCTTTGCCAAAAGTACGTGGTAATACCAAATTACAAGGGATCAGGACAGAGCGATCTTGCCTTGAAAGAAAATGGAACTGAAGGTCGGTCACATTAATGGATGCTATGATTCCCTAATTTTATGTCCTTTGGGGCCAGGCTTCTTCCATTTCCTTCAGGAACAGCAGAGAGGACCTTCCCACAGAAACACTGCCATGTTTGTGGGCTCTGCCTCCCTTAACCGTGGGGCTACTGTGCTTTCTGCTTATCTGTCCTGAGCAACATATTGTCTATTTTATTTTTTTTTATTTTTATTTCAAAATATGAAGGCATAATTTTGGGGTTACTTTTAATTTTTTTCTTTTATTTTCAAGTAACAGGAGGGTACAGATTTTTAGGTTACACTGTTCCCACTTCCAAAGTAAAGTTCAAGTTGTAGAAGAACCCTTGACCCAGGGGGCGTGCTGAATACCCTCACACTGCAGACATTAGGTGAGATCCCACCAGTTGCCCTCCCTCCCTGCTTCCTTCTCTCCCCTCCCTCTTGCTAGACTATATTTGTGTCTTAGCATTCGTGTGGGCACGTAATCACTTATACATATATTGGTTTCATATTAGTATTGAGTACACCGGATATTTGTTTGCTATTCTTGAAATACTTTACTAAGAACAATGTGTCAACTCCATCTAGGTAAACACAAAAGATATA